TATGAAGAACAGAAAGGTTCTTTTGACCTTAGAAAAAAATGATCAGATAATGACCCATGCATTTTGGGGCACATACGGTGCTCCGTTGGTTAAGTTGATGGTTCCTACCCCTTTACCCCCCCCCCCCCCTCCTAAACCACCACCCCCTCCCATACTCACAGGGGAGGAGGGAGGGGGATGAGGGTTTATGAGGAGGGTTAGAGAGGGTAAGAACCATCAATTTTACCATTGGAGCACCGTAGGTGCCCGGGTCATTCTCAACCTATTTTTCTAAGGTCAAAAGAAACGTGGTGTATAAAGAATCTAAGTCCAGTGAAAGACATAAATACACCATTATTTTTGTAGCGGGAGGGATTTTTATTCTTGCCTAAGCCATTAGAATTTAGAATCTCTCATAACTTAGCAAAAGACAACAAGGGGGAAGGGAGTCCCGAGGTTGTGGAACCCGGGATCTCATCCATTATCTTCTGGTTTTTGAGCAAGATTTATTTGGATCCAAGCAGTAAGTAGAGTTGGGAAAGGAAGCCCAAGAAGTTTCGAATACAGGAAATGACCCTTACGTTCACACTTATTCCTTTGCTTACAGGTTTTATTGTCTTAATGATGATTATTTTGTTGTTCTGATGTGTGTAAGAGTGAATTATCTTTTTTATTTTATTTGTGCTATTTTTTCAACATTGGGGAGATTGAGTGATCATTTTTATGATTATTCTATCCTTTGTCCATTGGGTTGAATGTTGATGCAGTGTTGTGGTAGGGTTTCAGAATCAATCTTTAGCGAGTATTCTTTTTTATTTCATGTTACTTGATCACTTTTTGCTATTGTTTTTTAGATGTTGTTGAACTCCAGATATTCTTAGTATCACTGACGCCTATGGTGTTGATTTTTAGCCATTTAGGGTGTGCATTAAGTCACCCTAATTTAGAATTCGCATATCGTTTTAGGCAATTTTCCATATCTCAATTCCATTCCTTGCAGCGACAACCAGGACAGCCTCTTTCTAGAAAAAAAGACTCTATTGCCTGACGAGTTTTCACAATCCCTCCATAGCCTCAACAACAATAGGAACATTGCCATTCCATTGAAACTTCTCTCTTTGTGGTTACGGACAATAGCACTTTTAAGATTTTTTCTCAAAATGTGTAAGTGACCGAATAATGGGTTGGAAGGATTTGGAAATTCAGAGTTAAAAATTTTGATATTGATTTTCAGGTGTTCTGTGAAATTTAGAAGTGTTTTTTAAAATTTGAAATAGTTATTTCTTATACATAACTTTTTTATCGTTTCTTTGCTTCTAGGATTGCCTGTAACCCGCCCCTCATGCTTCGTCAAGTTGGTCTTCATACTGAACACCGTTCATCACTGTACAAAGAATGTTGGCGATCAATGACCACCAGCAAAAGAGTGCAGGACCGGAGCAAAAATAAGCGTGTGAATGACCTTGAAGTTGTTGTGGAAAGGCACAAAATCCTCTCCAAGGTCCTCTTCATACTTGAAACTCTCAAGCAAGAGTCTGATCAAATCATCACAGTTCGTTCCCTTGATCAGTACCGGAGGCAAGTTAACCTCCCAAAACCTCACAAGTTCTCAGATTTCCTCCGGAAATCTCCCAAAATTTTTGATCTGTACAAGGACCGCAAGGGAGTTTTATGGTGTGGGTTGACAAAAGAAGCTGAAAGTCTATTGCAAGAAGAAGATGAACTAATAGAAAAGAACAGTGATAAAGCTGCTGAATATGTGACTCGGATGCTAATGATGTCGGTTGATAAGCGCATTAGCCTGGATAAGATTGCTCATTTCAGGAGGGATATGGGGCTGCCTTTGGATTTCAGGAGCGGCTGGGTGCACAGGTATCCCAAATACTTTCGAGTGGTGAGACCCTTTGTGCCATATGATGAGGGCGAGTATTTGGAACTCGTGAACTGGAATTCTAGTTGGGCCATTACAGAGTTGGAAAAGAAACATTTGGGTGTTTGCAATGCTCCTGAAGGTTATGCTCCGGGCCTTCTCTCCTTGTCTTTTCCAATGAAGTTCCCCCCTAACTATAAGAAAAAAGTCTCCACGTACAAAGTTCAGATTGAGAAGTTTCAGAAGAGGGAGTATTTGTCTCCTTATGCGGATGCGAGTGGGTTAAAGGCAGGGTCCAAGGAGTTTGATAAGAGGGCAGTGGCCGTGATTCATGAGTTGCTAAGCTTTATGATTGAGAAGAGGATTGTGACAGATCATTTGACACATTTCAGGAGGGAGTTTGTGATGCCTCAGAAGCTGATGAGACTGTTGCTCAAGCATATTGGCATCTTTTATGTCTCAGAGGGAGGGAGGAGATTTATTGTCTTCTTGAATGAACCATATGAAGGCTCGGATTTGGTTGAGAAACATCCTCTAGTTTCTTGGAAACAAAAGGTTCTTAGCCTTGTTGGGTATAGGAGAAAGAGAGAGAAGGAAGAGGTGTTGGATGGTCTACATGAAAGAGACGATATAAGCTTATTTCAAAGCGATTCTGAAGAAGATTATGGTATTCAGTTTGTACGTGACGAGGAGGAGGAGATGAGTGGTGTGGACAACGATTCAATCAAAAGTGATCACGAAATGGATATTGAGGAGATTTGTGATGCATATAAAGCATCGGGATGAACGGTCCTGCAATTTCCTAATGTTACCCAAGAAATATTCGATGCATTATGCATATAGTTTGACAGCTGACCTTGAAACTAAATACTACTTCCGTTCCTGAGTATTTTTCCAGTTTTGACTTTTTTCAGTCAATTATTTTCAACATTTGACCTATAATTAAATAAAATATATATTTCCTATTAATTAGATAAAATAATATTTTGAAAATATTTTATATAATAAATCTAATAAAACTATTTTTGTATCAATGTCGAGTATTATTTTTATTTAATTTAGGGTCAAAGTTTGCCAATTTTGACTGAAAAAAGTTAAAAATGGATAAATACTTTGGGACGGAGGGAGTAAAAGGGATCATCCAACAATCCTCAGAAAGAGAAGATGAAAAAAGATAAAAGATGGGGACGTCAAATGGATTTGGAGCAAGTGTAGGTTGATGTTTAGCTAAGCAAGTAACAATTCATGTGCAATTGTTGATGGTTTATGGAAAAATTACTGGTCAAATGTGATTTGATTTGCAAATTAAGAGTAGTATAACCCATTAAATTAATAGCTTTGAGATGGGAAAATTATTTTAACTTAAGGTGTTACTTTATCCGTCCCAAAAAGATCTTTACGTTTACTATTCACATTGTCAAATTATATTTTTTAAACATGTTTTCAGTGATCATTTGATAAAATAATATGATCATGTCACCTATTATTTATTTATTGCAGGATGATTTATGTTTGATGCCAATGGTTTAATTAGCAAGTAAATTTCCACGTATAGCTGCCATCTCACTTGAGTAGTAAGTGAAATTATTCTCTTCTAACATTGTAATTTTATTGCATTATTGAATTACTGAAGTAAGTACTTAATTTGTTCCTTAAATTCTTCCCAAATAGCATAATACTATGATTTTACTCTCATGCAAAGACTACATTTACTCGATAGTAAGGAACATGTCTAGAAGGAAGAACATTAAATTATATTTTTTGAATGGGTGTAATATTATTGCCTTCAGACTTATTCTGTCATACGGAGTAATTTTTTTCCAAAGAAAATAATTTTCTGCAAATTGTTTTGATGTATATTATGGCCGGGAGGAAAATTTTTCATTAAAACTTTGTAAATACTACATGGTAACAATACAATTATTGTTTTTATTAATGCCCTACCTTATATTCTAGTCCATTTAATTTTTTTATATTTATATACATTTTAAACTGAAATTTATATCAATTTAAACTTATTATTTTTAATTGCATTTCCATATATTATGCACAAACAAAATTTCCACATATTATATGCACCATATATAAAAAATGCACACAATATAATGAACACATTCTATATGTCGATATATAATGCAGAGCCAATAGTTGGGAAAAGTTTGTCAATATCCCCCCCCCCTCCCCCCCCAAAAAAAAATAAAAATAAAAATAAAAGATTGATATCCAACAAGAAAGAAGGAAATTAAATTTAACCTATAGGTTGTACGTCTTTTGAAGATTGTGGTGCTTATTCCCATCAGCTCTAAAACATTCACAACGTCATGATGTGCTACTACATTATTTTCCTATCGAATTGTTCCCAAAACCAAAAGTTTGGTGTTGCCTATATAATCGTCGTCATGCTGCTTATGATCGATGGGAAATAACATCGTGATTAATGATTTTTGTCTAGCAACATGAGATAGATAGATGGGCATAGTTAGTAGTGACTCCATAACCTCTGTACCTTCAATACCCAAATGTGGAATTTCTCCTCTTGTTGTTCTCCACCAGGGCCAAACAAAGCTAGCTTCTCTTGAAAAACACATTATCTTAATCTTACAAGCCTACATAGGATATCAAATCCACCAAAGCTCTTAGCTTACAAGCTTCCACACCTTTGAAGTTGACATCATATAATGAAAATTCTCTTCTACATAGCTACAAGAAGGCTGCTTGACTGGGGAAACTCTGACTCTCATTACATGTCTAACCATGTATTAATCCGGAATGTTTTACCAATGGTTTGCCCTAATTGGGTACATATTGCAACAATAGAAATGAAGTTATACAAACCTGCTCCATACAAATACTCGGGCTCTGTATCAGAGGGAAGCTCTCTATCACTCGGCTGAGCCATCGCCAAAAAACACAGCAGAGCCAATTGCTTGTAGTTATCGTTGGACGGGTTCCAAATATAAATGGATTGATTGGATTCTTTCTTAAGAACGACACGGACCTCCTCACCAACACATTTTGCAATTTGAATTGAACTAATATCTCACGAAATCATCTGAGCCGGAAGATCAAGAACTCTCGGCGCAGACGAGGATTTTACTCTAGTTGCAACAAACATATAGTCATCCAAAGACATTATCTTGAACTTTAGAAAAATCGTTGGAACAAGTGCCACGTTGACTTCCAATCCCATCTCTTTGTGTGCTTCTTCTTCTTGGAACTTTATTTTTTCTTCTCTCCATAGCTTGTTAAAGAAAAAATGATTTTGACTGAATGAATAGTAACTTGAAACCGAGATCCTACTTTGTGGGACTAGGTTGTTGTTTTTGAATAGTAACTTGAAAAATAGACGAGGGAGTACAAAATAGTGAGGTTACGTGATGCTAATCATTCTTTGCGAATCTTTGTCGAACACATGTTTACTATCGTCGTGCAGTACTACCCTCTCAACCAATAGCATAACGATCTTGAATTTTTCCCACCCGCCAAAAGTCAAGAAAATTGACAACCTTAAGAATAGAGCTCGAAATTAACAAGCTACGAAGAGAATCAAGAAAAGAAGTTCCAAGAAGATGATGAAGAAACATTGAGAGAGATTAGCGCCTGGTCGTCATAGCGCCTGGTATTTCTCTAAAGTTCAAGATTATGTCTTTGGATGACTATTTGTTCGTTGCATCTACTAGAATAAAATCCTCTTGTATGCTGAGAGTTCTTGATCCTCTAGCTCAAATGATTTTGAGAGATATTAGTTTAATTTAGATTGCAACATGTGTGGGCGAGGACGTCTGTGTCGCTCTTAATAAAGAATCCATTATTGCATCTACTAGAATAAAATCCTCTTGTATGCTGAGAGTTCTTGATCCTCTATCTCAAATGATTTTGAGAGATATTTGTTTAATTTAGATTGCAACATGTGTGGGCGAGGACGTCTGTGTCGCTCTTAATAAAGAATCCATTATATTTGGAATCCGTCTAGTAGTAGTAAATCCAAGCAATTGCCTCTTCTAGGGTTTCCCTCTTATACAGAGCCCAAGTATTTGTATGGAGTGAGTTTATGTAACAACTCTATTTCTATTGTCACAATGTGTACCTAGCAAGGGTAAATCATTGGTAAAATATTCAGGATTAATACAAGGTTAATGTAGAAGAAAATTTTCACTAGACGTCAAATTCAAAAGTTGCTATCTTTCCCTCGCTTTGGTGGATTTGACATCCCGATAGGGCTTGTAAGCTCAAGAACAGGTATAGGATTTTTCAAGAGAGGCTTGCTCTCTTTGCTCTGGTGGATCGGAGATCAACAAGAGGGGAAATGCATGCCACATTTGGGTATTGAAGATATACTGAGGTCTTGGAGTCAACTGTACCCGTCTATCTATATCTTGTTGCTAAAAAAACATTAATCACACCGCTAATCCCTACCAGGCATAATGAGAGATTCTTGGCTTTGCACCATGGCGATTATACACGTGACATTAGACTTCTGGTTGTGGGAAATATTCAGCAGGGAAAAAATATGGTAGATTATCAAGAGACATAAAAATCAGAGAACTTAAAGGTTAAATTTAATCTTCTTTCTTTCTTGTTGGATACTTTCCGTTTAATTAGTTTGTGTCATGTCATTAGTTTGAAATACCTAATCTCTTTTGGTGTTGTGAACTTAATTTGAAAACTATGATGTACTGTATAACTTTTGTTAGGATTAGTTTTTTATGAATAATAAATAGTACTTATTGTAATTAAATACCTTTGTAATGCAGTGTAGAGAAGCTTCTTCCTCATGAAACCACCTGGAATAGTAAACAAGATATTGTTTTTTCTAATTTTAGTTTAAACTACAGTATTTGATATTGTTGTTTCTACTAGTAGTTTATAGTCTTTGAAGGTAGGCATAAAAGAGTGTGACTCGTGCTTATCAAGCCTTTGCTTGATTGAGTTCTCTATAGGTTAGCCTCTTGGATTATCCGAATTTGTATTTCCCCTTTGATGGTGGTTTCCTTGTTTGAATATGAGAAATAGAGCATGTATTAGTATTCCCTACTACATTGAGTGATTGATTTCATTGCATAATTTTTTAAATTGAAAATTATCCCAAACTGTATTCGTATTTCATAAATCCTAAATACCTAATATTAAAATACCTAGACATCCATTAGACTTTAGCTGTTTGTAGAGAGTAAAGTCATAGCATAGGCCACACCAAGAGCGACGACCCAAAGATAGGCAGTACTTCGCTAATAAAACATTGTGTTGCTTGGGACTTAAGAAAGTCAAATGTGCTAGTTTAGGAAAATGCTAGGGTACCCAAGTGGTGTACCTTATTTGTACACCAAAGAGTTCACAGATACACACCGATACTCGATGTATGTACATGCGCAGACATTGAGTGTGTGTGTGTGTGTTTGTGAATCCTTTGGTGTACAAATGAGATACACCACTTGGGGTACCCCTAGTACCACCCGGCACTGCTAGTTTATGCTCTCTTACTAGCTTGGGAATGCGCACTTGGTGACCAATGGGGGCCCTGAAATTTTTTTAACAATATTTTACTTCATATTAAATTCCCTTTGATTTTTCGTCCAAACTGCACCTCACCCTTGGTCTTTTGTTATATATCTCATTCAACGTTTATGAACTGATAGTAATTTAATTGTTAAAGCATACATACCTTATATGAAAGTGTGACTATTGTTGTATTATTCCATCAAATTTGGAGTTGTGGGTACTAATTAATGTTTTGGTATTAGGAAATTCATTGCTAAATATTTACACATAAGAATGGAGGCTAAGTGTGATTTTCACTTTTATGATTAATTTGTTCTGATATGTATTTCCCCAATGCCAAGTTCTTATGATGTCCAAATTTGTGGGTTACTCACTTACTCTTTAGTTCCTTTTGATTTTTTTTTTGTATTAAATGAAATATGATAGTGTGTAGAAGGATTGGAAGAACATCAATGAGGGGCGCAAAGCAGAAGGGAGTAGAATGAAAAAATGAACGATAAAGGCAACATGAATACATGATTATGATCACGTTTGGCATCAGCGTTAGAGATTAGTGTTAGCGTTTTGAAAAGGCTATCCGACGGTAGCCTTTGGCGTTAGCGTTTTCAGAACTAATCTATAGCATTAAAATTTTATGCTAAATGCTAACGCTAATCGAATACGCTGTTCTCAAACAGGGCTCATAAAACATTTCCCTTTAGAAAAAAAAATGCTTTAAACATGTGTAATTTTGGCCTTATTTTCTAATTTCTAATTTTCTATCTTACACATAAGCTCCTGTCCTATTATAAAGTAGAGATAAAATTAGAAAATAATACCAAATTTACTTATTTACACATTGTTAAAGTTCATATTTTTTTCAAACCGGAAATGTTTTGTAAGGCGGAGAAAATATATATATTACTCCGTATTAGGGATAATTTCCACTCACCTCAATATTCTAATTTGTATTTTTTATTTTTATTGAATAAAACATAAGAAACATAATCATTGGATTTAACATCTTATGTTTAATTTCCTATTTTTAGTGTCGTGTTTAGTGAAATCCTATTTGTGTAAAACTTGTTTAAAATAGAGCCTCAAAATAGTAAATACTATACACACGGCCCATGTTGAGAATGTAACAATCAAAAAAAGAATGGATGAAATTTGCAATTTTAGCATTCAAATCTGATGAAATTTAATCCACCAAGCTATGCAAAATACATACCAAATAATATAGAAAAATAATATGATAAATATGAACGATATGAAGGACATACGATGTTTACGTGGAAACTGAAATCATAAGAAAATAGACTTTTTAGGAGGTACCATACCAAGAGGGTGTTTTATTACTAATCGGGGGAATATCTGTACTCCGTACATTATTTCACCGTGATAATCATTGATGAAGCTTGAAGCTCAATATGGAAGATGATGAATATGAGAGAGGTGTAACATTGTATATTGAGAGAGGCTTCCCCTTCTACATACCTTGCAGCTTTATTTATAGTATAAGAGGAGCCTAGAGTTAGGATTTTCTTAATGAGCTTCTTCCATGAAGTGGATCCAATATTTTAAAGGCTCAAGGGGGATATAATCTGTGGGGTAAGTCTTTTTAATAAAACATACTCACATCATTCCAAATTTTAAAGATAAAATTTTTAAATTCAAAATTAAACCATAAGTTATACTCTCTCAGTCCTTGAAAACACTTCCTTTTTTAGTTTTTTAACCAAACACTGACATTCTTTGACCATAAATTGTAAGAAAAGTATATTGAATTGTCATATAGCTTCAATATAATTGGGTATTTGGGTTCATCTTAAGTTATAATTTTGACTTATCTATTTTTTATAAAATTTATTTATTAAGATAATGATTAATTTGCGGTCATAGAATATAACTGTTTGACTAAAAAATTAAAACATGAAGTATTTTCAAGAACGGAGAGTGTACAAAATATCGACAATACTATTATTTAATGAAATGAGTAATGATATCAAGCAAAGAAAATAATGATATCCCACAAAACTGCTACATGCAGTCGACCCCCACGACGTTAGCAAGGTCACGGTCGACCTTTCACCACACCATCCACATAACCTCTACAAACATTCCAATTTATGGATCGTCACTTACCCACGATCGAACATCTAACCACCAGTAATCAAATTTCTTCTCATGCCACACATCCACACCCAAACACCACCACTAACACTCACCCCCTACAAATCTATGGCAAATCTGGTATATTTAAATCAAAAATCTATATATGTTGTCACCACTCTTGGTAATATCTCATTCCTATCATCGAATCTACCACTAAGTCCTCAAAAATAGTTTTTGATGTCAGACTATGGATGAAAAAATTATAGCTTTGAATGAACAATGTATTTGGGATTTGATACCTTTGCCTAAGAACTACACAATGTTCAGCTATAAATGGGTGTATCACATTAACGAAACACTGATCGATCCGTTTCGAGATATAACATTCGTCTTGTAGCAAAAAATTGAAATCAAGAACAATAGCTCTAGATACATCCGAATATATAATATACTCTCCAATGATAATGAGATTCATGAAAGTACATCCCACAGGCCACAATTCCTGACCCGAGTCCGAACTTAAGGGATAAACATAATCCCAAATGAGGCTACATTCCGTTCATCTGATCTCATTTGATTTTTTGAAGTTCTGATTTGATTTGGTGTGATCTGATCTGATCTGATCTGATCAGATCAGATTGGATTTGATCTGATTGAATCTAATGTGATATGATCTGATTCGAAATATTGACAATAATAGTAATTATAATAATAAAAGTAATAATAATACTAATAGTAGTAATAATAATAATAATAATAGTAATAATAATAATAATAATTATTATTATTATTATACTAATAATAATAGTAATAGTAATAATATAAATAATAATAATAGAAATATTATTAATAAAAGAAATAATAATAATAGAAATAATAATAATAATAATAGTAATAATAATAATAACTATAATAACAATAATACTAATAATAACAGTAATAGTAATAGTAATAATAGTAATAATAATAATAGTAATAATAATAATAATAGTAATAATAATAATATTAGTAACAATGATAATAATAATAAATATAGTAATCATAATAATAATAGTAATAGTAATAATTAAACTAGTACTAATAATAATAGTAATAATAATAACAATAGTAATAAGAATTATAATCATAATATTAATAGTAATAATAATGGTAATAATAATAATAATAATAATAATAATAATAATAATAATAATAATAATAATAATAACAACAACAACAATAATAATAATTTTGTTTAAATCTAGACTCATAGTCCATGTGATCTGCCTAAACGACTAAACTTAAAGTGTCTTTTCTCCGTAGATAAATCGTGATACGCCGTATTCCCCACCACCTACATCGTAACGCCACCGCCACCATGACCACCCGCGGCGGAGCTACCCGGAGAACCACCCCGACTAAGAACCGCAAGCAAATGAAGAAGAAGAATGCCTTAACCACCGCAAGGAGATCCCAGCCACCGATCCACATCCAGTTAGCTAAGCTCATCCCATCCCTCATCTCCACCGCAAACGCCGCCTACACTTTCCTCCTCCGCCACGATCTCCACCTCCTCCCTACCCAATCACTCTCCCTCGAGTCCCTCCTCGCCTCCACATCCATCTCCGTCTCCAAATTGTTCTCTCTCCTCTCTCTCCCTCCGGCTCCGCCCGTGTCTGAGACCCCCGATCCCTCAAATTCATACTGCTGGTTCCACCGCTTCCTCGCCTCCTCCGACACAGATTCCGATGTCCGATGGGCCCACTTCTTCAACCTACGCAAACCCTCGTTTGTGCTCCTCCTCCGCGTCATAGCCCCTTCTCTTTCTCATCTCTTCCCTCTCCCTCCCAATTACGCCCTAGCGGCCGCCCTTCTGCGCCTTGCCCACGGCGCCTCCTATTCCGCGCTCGCTCGCCGCTTCGGCATTGATTCCGCCGCGGCCTGCCGCGCCTTCTATACCGTATGCAAATCAATTAATGAAAAACTCGGGCACTTGTTCGAATTCCAGTCTGATATCGGTCGAACCATCTCAGGGTTTGGATGGAACTCACTTCCCAACTGCTGTGGTGTTCTTGGCCTGGAGAAGTTTGAGCTGGATGATGATAACACAATGGGTGAGAATGGGTATTTTGTAGTTCAAGCACTGGTGGACTCTGAAGGAAGGTTCTTGGATGTCTCAGCCGGGTGGCCATCCACCATGAGCCCAGGTAACATTTTGCGACAATCCAAACTCTTTTCTGGTGTTGAGGAATCAAAGCTGTACTTGAACGGGCCAAGTTTCAAGCTAGAAGATGGAAATTCAATCCCGCAGTACATTTTGGGGGATTCTTGTTTCCCTCTGCTGCCATGGCTCCTCACCCCTTACACCGGATGGGTAGAAGGGGACGATTTGACTCCTTCACAAGCTGCTTTCAACACAGTGCATAACAGGGCAATGGGTTTGGTTCGGACATCGTTTGGTAGGGTTAGAATGAGGTGGAAGCTCTTGGGAAATAAATGGAAGGGACGATGCGTTGAGGCATTTCCATTTGTTTACATGACATGTTGTTTGTTGCACAATTTTCTCATCAAGTGCAGCGAGACTTTGCCTGATGAGAATGTGGAGGAGTACTTGAGGAGGAGGGTCGAGTTTCCAGTGTGCCATGATGAGGATTCGGATGAGAGTGGGAAGATGACTAGAGATGTACTTGCCTCACACTTGTGCCCTGTAATTGGTTAGAGGAGACAAATCTTGTAATCTTGTAAACATTTGGTTGAATGAATGGTTCCATTTTGCTTGCATGATCCCTCCTCAAGTTAAACTCCTACTTATTCATATGTATGTAAGTGCAGAAGCAACTGGTTCCATTCAATAGCATCTCTAGTGAAGGTAAGATTTTCTCAAGAAATGGAATAAGGGATTTGACTGTGAAACCTTCCCTCATTTGCTTATGTATTACGATGTCAAAGTTGTGGTAGAAAATCTCAAATGCTTTGATTGTGATTCTGCTGTCAACTAGAAAACCTTTCCCCCAACCACTTGTGTTGACTATGATGTTACTTGATGGATAAGTTGTGAGATTTAAATCTATGGTACTACATGGATCCAATTCTTACATCTCTTTGCCCCATAAAATTCTTTTCACTTTTCTTTATTGAACATTACACTTACCTTATTCTCTAGAGTATTTTTTTTAATAATGAACTAGTATTTTTACATGTACGATGCACGGGGTTAAATGAAATTTTGTTAATTCTTTAATTTTTCTTCTATTTTTCTAAGACTATTTTTTGAATTCTAAATCTGAGGATTCGTTTGGTTGGGAGAAAAAAATATTTTCTACAAAATTTCAATTATGCTTTCCTAGTTTCGGTTGCATTACAAAATTATTTTTAAGAGGATAAAACGACTATCATTTCTTTTAGATGAAAGTTCAATTTTTACCCAATCCTTGAGTATTCTAGTTTCTCGAGTTCATTTTGCTGAGGCTCTTTTGAATGAAAGTTCATTTTCATTGCTCACACTCGACCATTATGTTTGAGGCTGTTGCCGATCCTTGCTTGTGAATCTGGCATGCGTACTTCGGAGTCGCCGGGTCAAACAATGACCTGAACGTATTGAATGTGTCTTCTTTATTCAATGATGTCTGTGTTAGACATGTGCAAGTAGTGCTATTCACAACCAAAGATGGAATATGACTGGATTGAAATCAATCCAGTGCTCCCACAGAGGGAATGGGGCAAAAATTGTTCCCATACTCATCGTAACCGTCGGGGCAGTCGTAGTGTTAAGATCAAAAGTGACTAGCTAGATTTTTCGTTGCTTTACAAACTTGATCGAACAAGAATTTTTGAAAATTCAGGTCCCATAGTCTACACCAAATGATGGTGTTACTACATGAAAAGAGACTAGGAGTGGTTGAGCAAGTTGTACTTGACAAGTCAAATTATGTAAGACCGCGTATAAATGGGGAAAGTGGGACTTAGACGGGGAAAGTCTCTCGTGTCTGAATATATTTATTACTCTCTTTCAAGAGTAAACTAGTTTATTTGAGTAGATTTGAGTATATACCTCTTCCTCTACAACATGCATTTACAAAGTAGACGAACTCGATCATATGTGGTGATTGGCTACTGTTCGTTCATTGGCAAATGAGGAAAGAAAGTGTCAATGACTGAGCAGTCATTGAATATACATGATTTCATTCTCAATCAAGAATGATGAAAAAGTGCACTTCAGATGACTCCACCTAAGTGAGACCATTCAGATGAAGTGCATTTCAAGAAGAACTACTCCAAAATCAAACCGTTTGACTTCATGATGGGGTAGTTCTTCTTGAAACTCCTTTGCGGGTGAAGTTGGTGAACATTACCAGTTATAAATTATATAATTAGTCACTTTCCTCGAGTGACTCCACTAATCACTTTCTCTTAATCTATGTTTGTCATTATGAGCGTCTTTCACATTTGATCGATCACTTTTCGTCTTTCTCTAATATTCGGCCCGTATTGGGATTATGCCCATCATTTGAGATGGACAAAAAAATGAAACAAAAACAATGGGATGTAGGGAATATTTAGGTTGTATCAAAATTTTGTGTGGCCTTTATTCTTTTTATTCTATATCCAAACTTCAAAGTACAAGCCATTCAGAAAATTATGCTCCATTCTTTCCCATTAAATTAGTGCACTTTTATTTTACAAAATTTAAGAAAGTTATTAAAAAATAAAAAAATGTGTAATTAAAATTTCTTTAGAGAGAGAATTATCGGTATCCACATATTCATTGCCAAAACGCAAAATATGAAAATAAAGAAAAAGTGCAAAGAATTTTATGGGATGTCCTAAAATCGAAAGTGTAAGAAATTCTATGGAATGGAGGAAGTAGGAGCCATCTGGGGGCACAGAACACAATAAAAAATGGAGAGACTAAAATTAAAATAAAATATACAGAAAGAATCAAAATATAATATTCATGTTTTTATTTTTTTAATAAGACTTATGATTTTTATAATACCAATATATAATATTAAAAAATATTATGAATTGTAAATATATAGTGACGTAGTGTCACTATGTACTAATTATATTACTTCAAAAAAATGTACTAATTATATTTTTGAAATAAAAATATATCAATTCAATTTTGGAAAAATAACTATGCTAACTCCTACTACGTTCTCCCTCCGTCCCAGAGTATTTGTCCACTTTCATTTTTACACGCTATCCAATACACTTTTTTAATCCATTTTATCTTGTAATTTGTATATTAAAAAATTATAGAAATTATATATTAATAATCTATATGTTAAGACAAATCAAACAAGATCACACATGAATATATTTAGGCTTACACATTGAAAGAATTTGATGAGTCAAAGTGCTTAGATGAAAAGTTCCAAAAATTATAGCGGGATGGAGGTGTTATTTCTTATTTTAAATGATTTCTTCAAGCAATATTGGAGTGCCACAGTCCGAAACAAAGTCGGCTAACTTGTACGAGTATTACATATCTATACGTGGAAGAACCCAATTGTTCTTGGAATAGAGTGATCGAAGTGATCGAAGAATAAGGCCCTCTTGATCAGTCTATTGTTGAGATCCTATTGAGAAATATGGGCATGGCAAAGCTAAAGATAGCAGGGGCATGGAGTGGGGTACTGGAGGTCGAACCGGAGGAGTGGACGGTGGCTATGCTGAGGGAAGAGGTTGTCAGGCGATCGGGCTGCGTTCCGCCGGAGTCCGTAAACCTCATCTCCGCCGGGAAATTGCTGAAAGACGGTGACGGGTCTGAGAAACTCAGCCAATTTGGCATAAAATATAACGCCAAGATTTTGGCCTCTAAGGTTTCTCTCGACAAGGGCAAGTCGTTTAAGGAGGAATCCTTGGCCGAGGAGGAACGCTCTTCAAGGCTTTCCAGGCTAAAGTTTGTCCCGGAATCGCTCTCTCATCTATTTTATCCTCGTTGGTGGTTTGAATTGCATGATCATTATTGAAAATTTTGGGTTCTTGCTGTGGGATAAGGGGGTCTTGTGTTACTTATCTTCTTGTGACTTAAACTGAATTTAAGTAATTGGGAAGTTGCATGATCAGGGTGAATGCATAGGTTTTTTTTGTTTAGCTTTTCATAATTAAATTGCATCTTTTGCCTGTGCAAATTTAGGAGTTGAGTGTGTTGCTTGGATTATTAAGGTAAATTGTAAATAAGGACTTAGTAGTATGTTTATTGCTATAACTTATTTGAGGTTGAAAAGGGGAAATCTGGAAGAACAAACATAGAACAACTGAGCGTATGCTTAACTTGATTTTTTAATGAAGTTTTGAGAAGTTACGGAAACAATGTCTCGAGGGTGTAGTAAAAACATTATATTTGTTTGCGAAGATAGGGATAAGGTTGCGAACATCTTGACCCCCCACACCCTGAAGGAGTTGCTATCATATTGGGTCTGTTGTATAACTGAGAAATTTATATTTTTCCCTTTGTATCTATGAATCTATAATAGGCAACCATAGTAACCTTTACCATGAAGAACAAATGATTATCGCTAATGCTAGTTTGGTGAAAAATGACTTGAAGTTGTGTTTTGATATGCTCTCATTGAAACTGCCAATCTTGTTGACATTCATCAATAAAATTTGGCACAGTCAATCCCTCGAAGAATTGGATGGTATAGGAACATCTAGTTGGACGAAAAGTACCTAAAATTGTCTTTCGGAATGTTTCACAAACCCTCACTAAAGTAATTCAAAGTGCGGACAGCAGAATGATTTTAGATTTATAGACACAAAAATGTATCAGTCATCCTTACCAAAATTGGATTTAGAGTGTAGCATAGTATGTACTTCTGGAGGCCTTTTCTTGCTTCAACATTCATATCTTATTGCAATTAGTTTTGTATTGCGTAAATCTATTGTCATTACCCTACTGCTTCTGGTAACTATAAGTCTATAACTAATATATTTTCACTACATATTGTATTTTATATTTCTGGTCACTTAAGTAGTACTGCCTGCATTGCAGGGCGGCTGCAACTGCATTGTCTAAGAGACATGCAGAAGGCACATTGCCTGTTGAAGACTTCAACTTAGAACTTGAAAACCAGAGCGGAGAAAAAGTGCAGCTTGGATCTGATACTGATCAGCGGTATTGATAATACTCAGACGCATATGATTCTATGAAGCCTCAATAGAGTTACGCTTGGTATATAAACTTCTAAGCCTGTAATGACTTTGTGCTTGATTTTGCAGAGCTATAATGATGGGCCTCATGCTTCATGCAAATGGCAAAGCACTTATCAGAAAGCAACAGTTTAAAGAAGCACTTGAGGTTCTAACAATGGGAGAGGTTTGCAGATGGAACTTGTCATAATTGAGATCTCTCTTGAATGCTTTCCATGCCTTTTATTCGGATTGTGATTGAGTTTCTCGCATATAGCTATGCACTGATTATAATAAGAAATTCCTAGAATATACGAGAACATTTTTTTAATGACGTTTAGCTTGCTTTTGTTACAACTTGGCAAAAAAAATGCTACCACATTCTACGTTTTAATAAGAAATATAATTAGCCTTATTTTAGCTTTTGAATAGTGATGTCAAACACCTCCATGTGTTTCCTGACATCATTGTGGGTGCTTCTTTCTCATCGAGTTTCCAGTTGCTAGACGCCTAGACATATGAGATTATGAGTTATTTTTAAAATTTTAAATTCTTCCAACTATTACTCAAATTACATAATAAATGGCATTTGTCCTTTTACAGGAGGCCTTCTCTCTTTGCAATCCCAAAGTTATTGAGGTGAGCGATTGTTTTGATTATTTTGCACTAACCCGCAGTCATAATATATGGTCTATGATTTTTTTGTTTGTCTTGTTGTGAAAATGTGTTTTGTCTACTTATTGGCATGTATACCTTAAGTTACTTTGGATACTGAACTTGATTTTGCAGATACTAATATAGAATAAGCCTTAAATAGCTTCTTAAGAAAATAAACAATGCATTATGGTTGCAATATTAACTGTTTCATACATAAATGATTTCAATTCATGATATAAGAATGGACTCCTAACCATCCCTTATGGCTTACAGTTGGTTGACAATGTAGCCATTCTACAAATAGACTTGGTGTGGTGTTACTTCATGCTCAAAGACATGAGTTGGCTCTCAGATGCAGGCGCCCGTCTTGCAAAAGCCAGGGAAGGCCTTGAGCGTGCTCATGGTAAGGAAGCTAGTCGTGTTAGACTTCTTCAAGGTGGACGCTATCTGGAGGTTGCCTTGTGAGTACCTGTATCTCATTTGTTGCATATCTCCGAATTATTATTACTCTGTATCAAATTTGGCAAGTGATTTCACTTAACTTTTTAATGTTATTATTATGTTTTATTTTTTTTCATCTAGGCATGTACGGCTAGAGTTGTTAGAAGGAGTTGTTGCATATCACAGTGGTTGGTTACAAAAATCTAGACAATCTCTGAGTTCCGCCCAAGCCAAATATATCCAGGTCAGCCTGGTTGACTTTATAAATTTGGCAATAATGTTGTTTTTATGCCATCATCTTATTCCAAAAGTTTTTTTTCGATCGATTATTCTTCTGTAGATAATAAATAGGTGTGCTAGTGTGTGATGCTTCCACCTACCAAGTTACCATCTGATGCAATGTTTAGGAAGAAAAAAGTAAACTGGTTTTAGTTTTTACTGCTGTATATATTATTTATGCTTGTTCCTCTTTTATTTTTTCATTATCATAAAAATAGCATCAATTTTTTTTTGTGTTAATTTTTTTGTATTTTTCTTCAAACAGCTTCAAATTCCTGATGAGGCATTGTCATTAATTTTGAGCATGGGCTATAAAGAAAGAGATGCAAAGAAAGCACTGAGAATGAACAATCAAGATGTTCAAAGCGCTGTTAATTTTCTGATTGAGGAGAAAGAGAAAACCAAAAGGAAAAAAGAGGAGAATCTTACTAGACAAAGAGACCTCCTGTGGGTTAATTTTCTTTTAATGTCAAGTTACCCACCCGTGTTTTTTTTCACGTTTCTTGAATTTGTAAAATTCTAAGCTTTGCATGCCATGGATTTCAGGGAGCAAAGGCTCTACGGAATGACTGCTCTAAAAAAACCTGTTAATCTCCACTATCTAAATGAATTGGTTTTGGTCGGGTAAGTAGTAAATAAGTGTGTGACGGGATGATTCAAAGTTGCTGTATGGTTTATTCTGAGATGATGCATCATTGTTGACCTTTGTAGGTTTGAGAAGGGGCTTGCTGTAGAAGCCCTCCGTAGAAATGAAAATGACATGCAGAAGGCTCTGGATGACCTCACTAATCCACAAACCAATTCTGCTATTCAGGTAAGTATATATTTACTAGTAGTTGATATCCATTCTTCTAGTCTATTTATTGTGTCTTTATGCATCATAATTTTCCAAGTTCAGCACCGGATTCGGTTTTGCACAAACTAAAACGATTTCCTCTTTTCCTTAATGTGTGTATTCAGCAACACATTGAGTCAAACAAAAAGAAAAGGTTGCGTAATGCACAGAATGCTGCAATTGAACAGATTGCTGCTATGGGTTTCCCAAGAGAATCAGGTAACTTTGTTTCTAACATGGACTTATATGGTTATGTTCTGTTTGTGCAAACGATGTTGTGTTTTTAACACGTCGCAAACATGCAAGTTCAGTGATCGCAGCTGTTCGCACTTTTGGGACACGGCAAACAGCTTTGAATAACCTTCTAGGCCAATCTTCTTCGTCCATTACCTGCAATCTTGCGCCAGTTGGCAACGAAGGCAGCTTGGGGCAAGATGGTAATTTCCCAAACAACGATGGCGAACAGGCACCTGGTAGGAATGACGATTTAGAGGAAGACGCTTTTGGAGATCAAAGTGAGACTGGATTAGTTCAGGAGGAGACCCGTGACGTTGAAATGGAGAGGGAGCTTACTGAGGAATTGCTGAAAGGAGACGCCTACTCTGACTATGACCTTGAGCTTACCAAAGAAGGCGAAGCGATCGCCCAATATCTGACTCTTTTAACATCTTCTTCCTAAATCTTTTGTACCAATCTGCTTGTAAATTTCTCTTCGATCACGAACTGCTGGAATATGTTTCTGTTTGAATGAGTATCTGCCTGTTCCATATTTCTTGGTTTCAGTTTTCTACTTTTATAGTTCGTTTTTGAAGAGCTCGCAAAATCATGACAGTGGTGCAGGTTCAGATTATAATAGACCCCTTCGAGTGCCAAAATTAGGTGCCAAGAAATCTTCAAAGCTGACTTTTCTTGTATAACTGTATAATACTCATTTACGAGTAATACAATACTCATTTTGCACATTATAAGAATGTGTGTATGCACGTTTTAGGATTACACAATGCTCATCATAAATATACAAAAAAAAATACTCTGTACATTTATGAGTAACATAATGCTCATTTATTTAAAAAATGTTTAATCCTACAGTTTAGAACTACACAATATATACAAAATGTATACTCACAAGTAACATAATACTCTTTTCATTGCCAACCGTCTGAATTCATCTTCTTTATCCAAAGACAAACCACACCGACGAGCTACCAAAATCACATTGCCCACTACTAAGCCATCGTGTCATTCACCACTCATCAATTGTCTCTGAACATCAGAACGAGCTTATTACACGCATAATGGTTAGAGTAGTCGTTAATAATGCTCTCGCTGGAGAAAAGGGAGAGGATAGCCAAAATATTGTTGCCTTTGTCGTCACCGATCATTGTTGGGGCTCATGGAAGGCCACCAGTGGTTGGTGTTAGTCAAAGCTAGCTAGTTGCAGTTGTGTGGCTTCGCCGATGTTGATGAGATCGAGGAAGAAGAAGAGAGATCGAAGACTAGAGCATTGCAGATACAAAGTAAAACTTCTTCCAACTTACACAAATTAACAAGTTTGTCACTAGTATTACTAAAAAAAAGTATTACAATCCCAAATACCTTAAAACTTGTATGTGTAAGGTTACCAAAAAGGAGAAGAGGGTTTCTTATATTTACGATTCTCTAACTCTTGGTGACTTGGTGGTATTCCTTAGTGAAATCAACCATACGAACTTACTCCGTATAAGTTATGATTGCTATGGCAAATTTCGAAAATATAATGTATAGAAAAAAATAAATACTCCAAGCCAACCTTTTATCAGAAAAACTAGATCCTTTTGATATTGGTAGTCCATGTTATGCTTCCTCAATTCATTTTTTTCTTTTTACAATTTGACTTTTTAAACAAATTTTATAAACTTTGACCATAAGTTTTTGAAAAAACAGATTTAATTATAAAATAAATTTTATATAACTGAGTTCATTTTCAGATGTAGTTTTGATATATTAGATTTTAAATAAATCTATTTATTTAAAAGTATTTATTAATAGTTAAAATGTGTAGCAATTTGACCCCAAAAAATCACACTAAAGAATTTTCTCGAATATAAGGAGTAGATTATGATCTTGGTCCATTTGAGACAAACCCAAAGTGACATTTACCCCTTCTAACCAACTCCTCAAACGCTTATCCCCAAGCCAACGCCCCTTAACACACCTAGGGCTCGACATGGTACAAGTCTGATTCTGGTTCCAAAACCGATGGTTCCTGTACAAATTTTGGGGGAACCTGGCCTTTACCGTATAGGGGCAGTTCCGGGTGGTTTCGATTGTGTAGCGGTTCTTTTTCATGTTCTGAATCGATTCCGAATATTTTTCTAATAAATTTTTTGGTAAAAACATTTTATTATCAATATGAATTTCGCCTTAGAGTAAGAATAATTTAGAAACACTATTGACACTATGAATATTGAATTCTGAATCCTTGAAATGAATACTATGTGCATGATATCAAATTATTTGCTTATGAATTGAGAATCAATTTATATGGATGTTCGATGCATTAGATATTCTTACTCAGTTTCACCGCCGAGCGTGTAGTATGTTTTGTTTGCTACATGCAGGTAAATGAAATAAAGAATGATTTGATTGATCCTGGTGGCAGATGGGGAGACGAGATGTCATATGGACGTTGATGATATTTGAAGAATGAATAGTTATTTTCTATGAATAATAACAGAGGGCCAATCCTCATAAATATTTTGAATCTAACCGGTTAACCACTTGCAAATGGACCCCCATTCTCTTGATTTTTTTAGCGCCAACAATTAAAGAATCACAAGCCGTTTGGTATGGACTTCCAGACAAGCAATTGTTTAATGTATTAGTGATCCAATGATTTTTTTTCCTCACATTAATTTAAAAAACCTAAATTACCGACCTTATAATTATATACTTCCTCTGTCCCTAAGTATTTGTCAACTTTTGACTTTTTTTGTCAGAATTGGTAAATTTTGATCTCAAATTAAATAAAAACGATATTAGATATTGATACAAAATTAGTTTTATTAGATTTATTATATCATCCATTTTCAAAATATTTTTTATATACTTAATATATAATATATATTTTATTTAATTCTAAGTCAAATATTGAAAACAATTAGTCGGAAAAGTCAAAACTGGACAAATACTCAGAGACGAAGGTAGTAATTAAAAAATAGGATTCTTCTCATCCATAATCCTTATCTACCCCCCC